TGTATTTCACCAGGTTCATACTTTTGTTTGATGGTAGTTGGATAAAAAATTCAGCTTATCTTGTCTTTAGAGGAACAGGGAACAACACTGGGGGTCTTTCTCTCCACCCAGGAACCAAACCACCTTCAAGAAGTGCCAGTTCCTCTTCCCTATTTAAGGAAGATCATGATTACTCTGTCCCTAATTTGGCTAACTTGCTTAAGAAATATGAATCTAGGTCTTAAAACATTCATATTTGTCTTTGAAAGGCAGGCAAGACAAGAACACACTTTGAATGAAAGATGATCTGCAGAGATGTGCTCAAGGAAACTTGCATGTTACATAGTGGGCATTGACTGCTCTGGTTTGTCCTGCGTCTGAGGAAGTCTCCCAAAGCTGCTCCAGCTGCCTCTTGGGCTCCAACACACGTGGAGTGACCAAAGTAATGACTTGACTTTATCCTGGAAACCTCTGGTGACATGATACTGCTCCCTCTCTTTTTTAATTGCCCCTCCCTACCATTCACAATTCCTTTTTTTCACATTTGCCTCCTGTCTTAGACAGCATTAGTGAATATATTAGTATTTTCAATTTTCAATATTAATAACATTAATATTAATACTGGGTTGAACTTGTCCTTACATGCAGCATAACATTAATATTGAAATAACTCATCAAAATTCGCCTTAAACCCTTACCCAGGTCCTCAACAATATTTCAGACTCCAGCTCCCAGATGGTTTCATCATCTGGACCTCCATCCTTATCTTTTTGATTAAATCATTAGCTTTAAAATCCTTCACCATTCTGAACCCTATAATAAAGCACAGGAAAAGGTGGCTGTAAGCTTCATGAATATTTATTTTTTCAGCAATGAAGGAGCAAGTTTACCTAACAGCTTTTCTAACTGATTGTCTGCAGAACAAGGAAGTTACGGCCACGTTAACGCAAGCAGTAGTAGTTTATTGTTTTAGTAGACACTTCTTTTTCCTTCCTTTCGAATAAATACACCGCAGGGTCTGGGAGGACGTGTGCCAAGAGCATTACTGAGCGCAGCAACAGCCGAACAAAGCGCAATCCTAATCATAACAGAGCGAGCAAGTATTGTTACAAATGTTCTCTTTAGTATGGAAATGAGCCAGGGGTAATAAAAACACCATAAAAACGTCAAAATGACCGATCACCATGAAACGCTGGCCTTTTTATAACCAAAACTTGCAATGAACTTAAAAAATTCCTGTGTTAAGAGAAATGCCATTTTTACTTAACATTATGGTTTGACTTATCCTCACTTGGCTGCACAGTTAAATGACTGCAGAAGAGAACAACTTCAGAAGGGCATCAGTAAAGACAAGATCTGATTGATATTAAATGGCATTTGAGAACGATGGTGGACTCTGGATGGAAACAAACTGTTAACCAGGGCATTAGCATTAACACTGCTGCTGCCTCTTTATGAGAATATGGGGCATATTTAGGTACTAATTGTTTGAACAGCATCAATAAAACATAATGCTTAATAAGATACAAATGAAGGGCTGTGTAACTTGTGTAATTCCATCGGAAAATGCTCAGGAACAGCAGTTTGACTTTAATTACTCAGATCAAAAAAAAAAAAGGCATTTTGAAGTCTGGTCTAAAGTGTTATTTATTACTCCTTTCACTTGAGCAGAGACAAGCTTGGATAGAAATAGCACTTTGGACTGGATGTGGTTAGTGAAAATGGGAAACAAAGAATATTCATTGCTTTGCTGATGTCCATGTATATTGGAGGATATATTAAATCCTAATTACAGCAGACTGGCAGAAAGGAAAAGAGAAAAGAAAGAAAAAGTGTATAAGCTAAAATAAGGACAAATAAAGGTCACAGCTCTGTGTATTGCTCTCAGGGACCTGAAGCTAGTAAGCAAAATGCCTTGGCTAAACAAAAATTTAAAATGGGTACCCTCTTTCCTCTGGGCTCTACTCTGAACAACATATATGTGCCACTTAACAGTCCATATAGCACCAGCATTTTAAATGTGGTTTTATCAGTCATTACTTCCTATTTTTTATTACAATAATTCACACTTCTGGTGCTGGCATTTGTTGTTTTCCTTTTACGTTTGTAGTAAACTTTTAAAAGATAAGAATCTTGGGCCAAGAAATGCTTTCTGGTAAGATAAGGTGAAGGGAAAGTCTGCAACACCTACAGTCTCCTAATTATTAGCACCTTCTGCTAGGTCCAGAATACAGAACTGATCTGGCAGGTGGCCTGGATGCATCCCAGCACATTTGGATTACAGACCTTAACCCATCCCAGCACATTTGGATCAGAGAATCATAGAATGGTTTGGATTGGAAGGGACCTCTAAAGGTCATCTAGTCTCATTCCCTGCAATGAGGAGGGACATCTTCAACTAGATCAAGTCGCTTAGAGACCCATCCAACCTGGTCTTGAATGTTTCCAGGGATGGGGCATCTACCACCTCTCTGGGCAACCTGTGCCAGGTTTCACCACCCTCATTGTAAAAGAATTTCTTCCTTATATCTATCCTGAGATTTAAAGAGTAATAAGTAACTGGAGGATGTTTAGAGGATATGCTTGATCATTGGTCTTATATAATTTAACTCACTGGTTTGGTTCTGTGTCTTGGTGCTCTCTGCAGCTACAGGATCGTCAAGGTTGGAAGAGACCTTCAAGATCATCTGGTCCGACTGTCAACCCAACACCACCACTTCTAAACCATATCCCCAAGTGCCACATCCAGACAATTCTTGAACATTTCCAGAGACAGTGACTACACCACCTCCCTCAACTTATTCCAATGCCTAACTGCTCTTTCAGAGATCTAGTCTGAACTTCCACTGGTGGAGTTTAATGCCATTTCCTCTCATCCTTTGACCTGAGACTGATCCCCCCTCACTACAAATTTCTTTCAGGTAGTTGTATAGAGCAATGAGGTCGCCCTGAACCTCCTCTTCTCCAGACTAAGCAACCCCATTCCCTCAGCTGTTCCTCATAAGATATGTAGAATGACAGACCCTGATCCATCCCAGCACACTTGAATTACAGACTATAACCCTGGCCAGTCTCTTCATGCCTCATCTCTTCCTCTGTGAAATCACTGCTGGGATCAACAGGTGAAACCCACCTCCTAAAGTTTGGTGTTTTTGTGACTATGCCCCTCACACCCTCACCACACCCATCAACCCACAAGCAGAGAAAGGCACACGACTGCTCCCTCTGTGGGCTATCACCCACTGGGATCCCATGGACACAGGAAACCTGCAGGGTCACTTTGGCCAATCTGTACAACCCAACATACAACCCCTCATGTCTGAATGTGAGGAAGGACCTGTGTCCAACCCCGGGGGAGGGCAGTGGCAGGATCCTGGCTGGCTCCCACACATGGCAAAAAGGGAATACAAGATACTTACACCAATAACGAGTTTGTGCAACTGAGCAGGTCATTACATTCAAATTCCCATGTAAATCCTCCATGGCACTAACTGTAGGCACTGCAGTGAGGTTTTCTGCAGTGCTGATCACATAGAGGAGGGGTGTGAGCACACACGGGGCTGCGCCGCTGTTTACACAAAGCGGCAGTAAATGTTGATGCAGAGCCCCGGTTTGTGTAAATAATGCCATCACTGCAGCAATAAGCTGGGAAGTGCTGAGATCATACAGTCTGGTGGCAAGTGGAGCTGGGTGTGCAGCCTGAACGAGGCAGCCGTGCACCCAACGGTGCTGTAAGGTCTGCGGTGCAGCTACAGCGCTCGCCAGGAGCAGGGACACATTCTTGTGTCTCCTTTTCTCTGCATCTCAACCGCATTTCTTTAGGGCCAGAAGGGCCTACCAGATGACCTCATCTGGGCTAGAGGTATCCCTTTATCCCAACTGCATTCCGAAAATCTTCAATTCAACCAAACACACTGTCCACAGAGCACCCAGCCTTGTTTTGAAGATTTTGAGAAATGCATTGTCTATGTCTTCCTTTGGTAACTCCTTCCAAAATGTGTACATTTCCCATTTATATGTGTCTGGCTTCACACTCAGGCCATTGACTCGTCACATCTTTCTCTGCCAACGAGCCAGCTAGCACAAAGGTGTAAAAACCTTGCAATGACTTCATATGTCCCATTGATTTCCCAGTGGACATTGCAGGGATTTTTTCCCACTGGCATCTGCACGAGCTGGAATAAGCTCTGCATGGGGTATAATTCAATGACCTTAGGAGTCTTTTCCAAGCTAAATGGGTCCATGTTAATCATTGAATTTGGATGATCTGGAGTCCTGGGCATGCTCAACATACCTCGTGTAGGCAGAGGTGTTGCCCAGATAGGAAAGCCATGATAAATTCCCCATTGATCTTTGACCACCTCCTAGGTTTAACTCACTGATATATCTTCCCCAGATCTTTATTCCAGTATTTCAAAAATCTGAAGAGTTTCGGACAGCCACAGAAATGGAGTCAACACAGAAATATTTCCTCTTTCCCACCCCAAGTGTGCAACTTCTGCACAAGGCTCTTTGGGTCAGAGGTCCAGGTCAGGTCAAGTTTGTGTGAGGGCCAGCTTTCCTGAACTTCAGATGTCACAGTTTTGACATTTGCTGTCTCTAGAGTGAATGGTGAGACACTCACAGGTTTGACTCAAAAGGGGGGAAGTGCTGGGCTTGACCTTGAAATTGCTGCCCCACTCCAGGTACCCCAAAATTTCATCTTGCTAATTGCATCTTGGCTCCTGGTGCAGCTACAGCATTTGGCTCTAGAAGTGAAGAGATCAAAAATTGCCCCTTTTCACTAAAAACCAGAAACCTTTTCCAACCATTTAAGAAGTAATACCTCTGCTAGTTTCACAGAACCTACACAAAATATCAGACCAAGTTGTGGTACCAAGGTAATTTTGTAATATTTTCTGCTTTGCCCTGCCAGCACATATTCGTGATGTGTGCTATTTCATACACACACACACTCTCACAAGCACAGGGAGACATCCTTTCCTTCCAAACACAGCAGGTTTGCAGAACTCAAACATCTATTAACACAATTTCAGGCTTTTATTCCATTTCTTCTGTAACTTTTATTACAAAGCCACAGACACAGACAAGCTGTGCCGTTCTGTCTCCTTTTGATGTGTTCAGTTACTATATTTGTCACCAACTGAAAATCATAGAACACTTTAACACTTTTTATTTTCAATGTCTGATAAGTTTTCAGTTTGAAAGGGGCCGACCATAGAAAGATTGTCCATATAAAGTTTAAAAAAGCCACACACAAACTGGCAGGTAAGGCCATGTTTGATCTCTAACGCAAATAAAATTAACAGATAGTGAGTTTTAAGCCTAAAATTCCTTTGATCTTTGAAGCTCCATGTGTTTAAAAGTACAACTGCCTTCTGTATCACAGCCTGGCATGTACACCTATACGCCTATATGTATATGTATATGTATACAAATACATGAAATAAAAACTTTTGTGTTCAAAATAGTGTCAGTTACTAATGGCAAGACTATGGTTTTCCCTAAACACCCTCTATTCAGGAATGAAGATGCATCCAAATCTTTTTCCACTGAAAAAAAAAATTCATACACAAGCACAACCTGGTTGAATTTATTTGAACTAAGGAAGACTTTGCAATATATGCAAGGCACAACCAAGCCCTAAAAATCAATGGCATGCAGTAGGGTATGGGACAGAGGGACTCAAAAGAGTCCTTACAGGTACCTCGTGGAGGCAAAATAATTCCTCAAAAACATGAACACCTCCCCCAGCACAGCAAAAGGCCCAGACAATACCTACAGCCCTCTACACGACATATGACGATATTTTCCTGGGACGAAATTTCACAGCAGTTTTGGTGTGCAACAGGAGATGCTCATGAGGGAGCAGATACCCAAGGCAGGATGAAATCCCCACGCTTTCTGCAAATCAAGACCTTCACAGCATCTCTCATGGCACATCCAAAACCAGAGCTGCCTTCTCGGGAGCTGCAGCTGTGCTGGGCTGATGCTTCATCCACGCTGGGTAGTTCACTGCAGCTTTGCCTTTGGAGAGCTCTGCCAGCATCACTAGAGATTTATCTCTAATGCAGGAGCTTTAAGGGGCAGGAAGAAACCACTCCTTCCACTTGAGCCATGTGGCAAAACGCGGAGGTTTTGACTGGATGATAAAAGACTATGGAGCTGGATCACAAAGGGCAGAAGGCACTGGTGGAGAGTGCTACACACAGCCTGGAAGACTGTGCTGTGTGGGAAATGCAGGATTGCCTCTTTTAACCCACTAACCCTCTCTCTGAGGGTCAGAGATGTAGCTGCCATTTGAAAAAGTGCTGTAAGATAATCTCTCAGGGTTTGCTCAGCTGAACCATACAAGCCCAGTGTTCACCTCCACCTTTGAAGCTGGTATCAGTACCACTAGCACAGCATGTGTTAGAAGTGTCCTCTTGCTGCAGCACTGGACTAGAGAGCAGAGAAGGGCCACGGCCTTATGGGGGAATCCTGCCCTTTGCCATGCCTCTAATGTTGCTGGAACGTGCAGTGGCTTGGGATGTACCATGGTGCAGTAAGAAGCTTCCCACAGGTATTACATATGAGATGTAGCCCTTAGTATCTCTCATACACTTACTGTCTTCTTGAAATAAAGGTGATGCACTTAGTGTATAAAGCCTTTTTTTTTAATGAAATTACTCAGTATACTACAGCCATTAAAAACTCCTGACTAAATCATGCCTTATATCCAAACAGAGTCCTCAGTCCTCAAATTTAAGTTTCCCTGAAGCTGAGAGGATGCATATGAAGGTACCCTTAATCTGAATTTAGCTTTTAGGGACCTCATCAATTTGTGTTAACAAAGTTTAACTGAACCCTCCTGCTGAAAAAGAAACAATGGTTAGCGATGGGTTGCTTTATTACAACCTCTGTAGGAACACTATGGTGAGGAATGGTCTTCCTGTAGAGGTTATTACATGGATATCCCACTACTAAAGCAAAAAAAGGGACCTTTTGGAGCAGCATGTATTGATGAAGAAAAGCAGGAGCTGATGTGTTTCACTGAATCAGGGCCCCATCTCACAGCCCTGCGGCTGAGCAAACAGGGAACTGTTTGGTTTGCTGGTGATTCAAACAAACCACCAGAAAAATCACTGCAGGTCAACACAGAGCAAATACCTTCAGAAATGTTCAGAGAAAAGCAAAGCCTAAAGCACTGCTTTGTTTCAGATTAAATAAAGTGTTTCACTATTAAACCGAGTATCTGGTTTGGTGGGGATCTGTTTCACAGAACAGGCTTGAGAAGGAAGTAATTTCAAACTTAAAAACTCTCATTTTCAGATTTTCAGGTTGTTTTTTGTTTTTTTTTACCAGTAAACTTTAAATGAAACTCAAGAGAAGAGCAAACAGTTGCAGCATTGCTGAAGCTGCCTTCTCTAAAGAAAATTTTGGCCACTGAGGAGTTGGGTGCCTCTTGTTGGTGTGCAGAAGAATGAAGGTTCAAGGCCCACTGGAGAGGGGAACAGCTCCAGCTCTTCTTGTTGCTCCCAGCTCAGCCTCCGCTGCCTCCTGCAGCAGCTGCAGCTACAAATTGTTTCACCTGCATTCCATAATTTCCCCTTCCAAGCACCCACCGTGAGGCCAAGGTTCCTTTTACAGCCTCACAAATTATTATGTTTTGATTTACAAAATTTTCTTTTAAGAAGAAGACCCGCTGCAGATTTGTGCTTAAAAATCTAATGAAACCTCCTCCCAAACTCCCCCCAAAAATGCATAGTGATGAGCACAGAGCTCTGCTACTGAAGATGAACGGGGTCCATGAGTAGTGAACTGGCCATTGCAGACCCTCACAGTCAGAATATAAGCAGGGAAAAAGGTCAGTTTCTGATGGAAAGGATGGCACCAGCAGTACCTGAGGTGATAGGAGATTACACATGGTTAGTGTACAAAGGCATAGAGACGGGTGACCACCAGGTTAGGAGAAGCACAGTTGGTCACAAGCTACATTGAGCATACTCTGAGCATGGCATCTACAGAACCTGGAAAAAAAAAATCTTTATTTTCTTTGATCAAAAATATGTATAGAAATGCCTGTTTCGAGGAAAATATCATACATTTTTTTTTCTTGTTTAACAAAATAAATTAAATATACATGACTTCTGTTTAAACTCTATATAGAATTACAAAGGTTTTATATTTTGCAATTGGATTCATTCCCAGTCCATATAGGTATTTAATATGGTCCTTATTTATTTTCTCTTCTTTCTGTTTTTACTGTTGAACTGCAATGAAGTTTTATCATTTCCAAAATGATATCTGAGGGGAGGGGGCAACCACACACAACCTAGGTGAGTATTTCTCAAATGCATTTTTCCTACAAGATTATTATTTCATTCTCTTTGTTTCTTACACTTTTTTCTAATGCTTTCATGTATTTTGCATTGATGTAGAAAATCCAGTAGCTTGTCGCTGTAAGCCATCGAGAAGGACAGTGTGTTTTGCTTTCTTCACCATCAGCAGTTCAATTATTATTATTATTATTTATTATTATTTCTTAAATATAAATATAAAGGTGTTCTGTACAATGTTCCTCATTCCTTCTCTCCTTTTTCCTGGCAGTGGCACTGAGTCCTAGGACCAGGGGAGCGGCGATTTTGTGGCTTGATCTGCAGAACATCCCATGGGAAACAAGATGTCTTGACCTTGCAGAAATAGAACCAAACAGTTCGGTTAGCTGGTTGTGCTCACTGTGACTGAGAAGCATTCAGCATTTCCCCTTGTGAATGGAAATTGGTTTTTCCAGACCCTCTTGTGTTATTTTTTCCTCCTGGAAGAGATGAATTGGTTATGTCTCCTGGTGCTTTGGCTCTAAACGTCAAGTACTTGAGAGCTCGGGTCACTCAGAGCAGGACAGGTCTGGGGGCTTCCCACCAAAACAAGTGATGTGTAACTGGCACAGGAACAGCAGTGCACATCCAGAAAAGTACCACACACACCTCTTGCTCTAGTTGCTCCTCTTAGTAACACAAGAAAGGAGGTGGTGGTTCACATCCCTATGTCCTGCCTCACTTGTTGCCACCTTGATTAAAATATCCAGGAAGGCTTCGCTGTTGGAGATGGCTGCCTCTCTGCTGTGATATGGAGATCCTTCATTATTCCTCAGCTACATCCTGATTGCAATAATTAAAAAAAAAATCTCTTTTCTCTGTCTTTCTCTATTATATATATATTTATATAGATAGATATAGATATATACACATATATATATACACACATACACACACGCATATACAATTATATATATATGTATATATATATTTAAAATTATATATAAAATCTTTTCTGTCTGCTTTGCCTATTGCTGGCAGTGAGAGCTGACTTGGAGCAGTCTCTTCTGAGGTACCACAAGGGAAAGCCCAAAAACGAGCTACTGTACAGGGCCAGCTCTTAGCACTGGTACTGGATGTGTTGGTGCTGGTGGACTTTGCCTTCCACGTGCGAGTGGGTGTGGGTGTGGATGTCCGTGTAAATCTTTGGGTACATTTTGGATGCCATGGCTGGGGCGAGCGCAGGCCCTTGGGACAGCAAATGCTGCTGCTGGGCCACATATTCCTCATAGTTTATGGAGGAGATGCAGTCTTTGTCCGGGACCTGGGAGACACAGATCCTGTCCCGGGGCTGTGGCCGGTGCACGGGGGCAGCAGCTGGAGGGGAGCAGGGTTTCTTCTTGGACTGGCAAAGCCACAGGAGGATCGTCCCAAAGATGAAGACAGCTCCGGCGGGGATGCCGATGATCACAGGCCAGGGCAGGCTGCTGGCCGAGGAAGGGGGCACAGGTGCACTCGGAGGCTTGGGATCTGGACATTATGGCAGGAGAGAGACAGAAAGAGTTAATTAAATGCAGGCAAAGTGGATTCAAAACAGATGTCACACTTGGGCTGGCTGTTGCACAGGCTGTCTGGCAACCCTGCCAGACCAAGTAACGAGGGAGAAATCAAGCCAGCACATGATGTTTGGTAACTGCTTTGCTTTTCAGTGCTCCTGGAAGGACAAGCAACTCATTTTCTCTGGTTTAGGGGTCAGGAGGGGAGTCTTTGGAGGATTTTTTAACTTTCTTATCCAAGCTTTAATGGATGCACTACAGCCAGCCCGAGACAGTTTCCTAACACTCTCACTCTGTCATGGAGTGAGCTTTGCTGCCCAGATTGGAGGACACAACACGGGACATGTCAGTAATACCTCCAGGTCAGCAGCCCAGGAGGCATGATGGGGTTGTGCAGAGACACAGCATATTGCCCACCAGCCTCTGCCAGGTGTAGCTCTGTCTGCTGGGCTTTAGACACTCTTTAGTAACACCGTCTAGCAATACCGGAGCTACTCAGCAATGCTCTGCCATGGCAGGGAGCATGGATGTTGGGTTTTAGAGGTGTTTTCTTGAGTTTCTTGTGTGGCTGGGAGGAAGGCTGAAGGATAGGGAAAACGTAGGTGAGTTGGTGTCCCCTCACTAGTGCCCAAGCTATGGAGAGCTGAAAGTTCACACAGCATTAAAGTGTATCCACAGCTCCCTACACCAAATGGGCACTACCTCCACCAGTCTGTTTCAAGCTGCTGTTGGCTTTTCAAAGGCAGTAAATTCAGCTACTGTGGAGGAGACAAGATGCTTCAGACATCATCTTTCACACCTACCTTCCCTTTCTCCCTCTCTGCTGTTAGCAGCCTGTACGTCCTTGAGTAGCCACTCTGGTTTCTCAGCCTGATCTCTTGATTTATATACCCAAAAGGAGCCCTGGGATAGGATTCTAGCTATGAAAATCCTTGTCTAGATAGCTACCAGCTGGGAATTCCAAAGCCTGGAAACATACCCAGGCACAGAATTCAGCTTGCAGGGAGACACTCAAGAAATTTCAAAAACCACAGGCTATCTAAATCGCTCAGTATGTTATATTTGAACATATATCACTTAACTTTCAAGCCAAACATCTTTTATGACACTAATGTCTTTTTCTCTCCTTGACAAATAATCCTATGGCTGGACTGAAATGTTAAATATATACCATGTGGTCTCTTTGAAGTTAGAAAGACCTATACTGTTGACCTCCATAGACAAAACTTTGGTTCACTAACGTTGGAAATTACAGAATAATTTAGGCTGGGAGGGGAGTCTGGAGGTCATCTGGTCCACCCTCCTGCTAAAAGCATGACAGGATCATAGAACCGACCCGTCAGCTGACCATGAAAACAACAGTCTTCATGTTGGTTGGCAGAAATCCTTTGCTAGGCTGAAATGAAAGTGTTTTGATATTCATCCATGCTGTTCCTCAGAGCTGTCTATATCAAAACTGGTAGATTTACAAGAAAAATGGTGGTTTTAACTCATGGCCTTACGACCACATCTTTGCCTCTTAGGGCAAGCTGGGCTCTCCTTCTCCATCCTTGCCAATAACAACAGGCCTGCAGGCGCTGGCTCTGGCATTAGGGCTCATCATAGTCCCATTAAATCAATGCAAAGTCTTCCAATGATTTCAGTGGGAGCTGGATCAGACTCCTATAGATCAGAAACTCCCAGAGGCTTTGAGTTATATTCCACCCATGCAGACTTTTCCTTGGGATTGACTGGCTTTTCAGTTAGAGTTTAGTCCTAAATCCAAGTGAGGCAGAGGACAATGCCAAGAGCATTCTCCTACCTGCTGTCAGTATCTAAGTTCAAGCCAGTGACCCTCGATGGCTGCTGAGACGCAGAGCTTTGGCAATCAGGGAGTAGAAGAGGCCATGCTGCCTTAGTTACAGGATTCATGAGCATTTCCCCCACTACCTACAGAGAAAACCGGTTCATGATCTCTGTCTCTCACTGGTGTCTTGACTGGAGACGCTCCATTACACCTGGGAGCTAAAATGTTCTGATTTTGGCTCCAGCTCCTGCACTCTCTTAGCTGTGTTGGCTTTGCGGTGACAAAGGGAAGAAGAAGCAGTATGATTTACTTTTGTCATAAAACTGGTGGATCTGAAGCAAGATTCACAAGGCAAGATGAGGCAGAAAAAAATGCCCTTTTCAATAAAAAAAAATTGTCAGGGTAGAATTGCACAGTCAAGAGGCAAAGGAGAAAACGGCCAAGCAAAGATGGTGTGTCTCAAACACAGTCTCAGCTGGATGTTGCCACCAGCTCTGAAGTCTGGAGAGAGAAGGCAGCAGCTGTGAGTTTGTCACAGGGACCCCAGGGGACCATTGGGTAAGAATTCAACTAATCAATCATTCTGTTTTTCACACTCATTCTTTTCATTTCCTTGTGACCAGAACAGTTTTTATTCTTCTCTCATTTTATGGGTCTGTATAATTGTTTCCTTTTACCAGCAAAAGCAATATAAATAAGGGCAAAAGAAAGGAGAAATGTAAGGGGATGGGGTTGCGAACTGTGCTGTTATTCAGTTCCCCTCTCCTGTCCTGCACTCAAACCTGAAGTAATGTAGTGTCTGAAACTGCAGCATCCGTTCCCAGCTCCTCTTCCTTACAGGAGCAGATAATTCATTTTATTCCACCCAGACAACTGAGAGGAGACCTCATCAATGTCCACCAGTATCTGAAGGGAGGATGTCAAGAGGATGAAGCCAGGCTCTGTTTGGTGCCCAGCAGTAGGACAAGAGACAATGGGCAGAAACCGATGCATACGAAGGTCAACGTTAATATGAGGAAGAACTTTACTTTGTGAGTACTGGAACAGGTTGCCCAGAGAAGTTGTGGAATGTCCCTCACTGGAGATATTCAAGAACCTTCTGGACATAATCCTGTGCCACATGCTTTGGGATGACTCTGCTTGAGCAGGGAGGTTGGACCAGATGACCCATTGTGGTCCCTTCCAATCTCACCTATTCTGTGCTTTTGTGATCATTTCCCATGAAGGGAGAAAAGGAAACATCTTCAACAGGATTTCAGCAGGGAATGTTTTAAATCGGGGCTGATTTAGTCCCCCAGTCATTCTTACCAGAACTGAACAAGCCTAAATCAGCACGGCATCACAGAGGGTCAGGGAGCCCAATGGGCATCAGTAGTTGTATAATTAATACCATGAGGCAGACTGTTGGTACAAATGTGGGCAAAAAAGTGAAAACTCACCTGGCAGGACTGTGAGAAAAGCGCTGCGAAAGCTGTAGCCCATGGTGTTTGCCCCCAGGCAAATGTACATCCCTGCATCCTCCTCCTTGGCTCGAGTAATCATCAGTTTGTTCAGGTAGGAACCATCTGGGCGGGACCAGACCTCCCCTGTGGGCAGCACAACAAACTTCTGCCCCCCGACATCGATGGTGGAGTTGTACTTGCTCTCTGTGCCATATTCCACCCTTTTCAACCACTGGATGACGGGTTTGACGTCACTGCGGACTTTGCACTGGAAGGATGTGGTCCCACCGTAGTCCACCGTCGTGTTGACAGGGTGTGTCCCTGTCAGGATGGGCTTGGACCTCGTCCTCTCTGCACGGAAACACAGGGGAAAAGGTGTTTGTCAATCTCAGTAACTTGCAATTGCAGAAACATGGGAAAAGGGTGTAGGAGGGATGCAAAATGATAGTGTAGTCCAACTCCCTGCCCCAAGGCAGGCTGAGACTGCTGCAAATCTCCACTGATATAAATTTGCCCAGCCTCTGCTAAAGCCTCCAATAGTAGATGCTCTCTAGTCTCTCCAGACAACTCTTCCATTGTCTGAGGCTTAGCAAGTCTGTTTTCATGCTCAACCTGACTCTTACTGTTTCTAACAAGGAAGTTACTTTTCTACCCACAATCAGACCTGGAGAAAAGTATGATCTCCCTTTGAGCCCTTTTTTTTGGAAGATTTTCTTCATCCCTCTCTTCTGTATGCTGAACAACTCTCCTATCTGTGATTCTGTGATGCTGTGTCTTACCACCAGGTCCAGCAGGGTGCAACTTACAGGTGAATAAGACAGAACTTTATGTCTTCTCAGACACAACCTCACGTTTTTACCAGATTTTTTACAAGTACTTATTTATTAAGACACCACACTGTAACCACTGTGGCTACCCCCCAGTTCAGAGATAGTGAGGGGTGGGGTATTTCTTTCTTCAGTCTAATCATCATCACACTCACTATGGAGAAAATTTTTATGGAGGAATAGCTCAGAAGACATTTGATTTTCTAGCCAATAACAAAATCTTTCCTTTCTCACAATGTTTTTTTGCCTCAAGTCTCAGGTGAGGAAGGAAACAAGATGGTAGGATAGGAAATCAAACAGAAGAGGTTCACAAGAACACCCTTTCCAGCGTGACCGTAAACCTTAGGTTGTGTCAACACCACATAAAGCAAAAAGAAAAATATATGCCTCATTCTGAGGAATGTTTGGATTTTTTTTTAGTGTTAGAATCAGATAAATCAGTCACAGTTTCCAGACAAGGAGGTACTTCAAACCTCTATCCTAGGCACAGAGAGAAATTATGGTATCACAGTGGGTGGTAACTGCTGGCAATCATCATCTCCTTTTGATGGCAAACACTGTTGGTTTGAGCATGTAACAAAACAGCTCCCACCAGCACTGGCTTTGGGGTGAGAAGAAGGAACAATGGACCCTTTTTCAAAAACTCAGGATACGTTCAATAATGAGGGCTATAAAGATGTGCTTGGGAAACAAAAATACCATAGTGGTCTCTGTAGGCCTTGCCTTGGGACTATGAGCAGCAATCACAGCTGGGGAGACTGAGATTCAGATAAGCAGGACTTAGGAGTGGAGGCTCAAGGGGAAAAAAAAAAGAAGGAAATTGAATAAAACCTGTAATGTTTCACAGAATTATGTTAAAAATAGAAAGATGTCTGAAAACTGCTTAATGCCCTTATCTCCTTGACTCTGGTTCCAGCTTTGGTTACTGTTTTCACTCCTGGCCAGCAAAAGCTAATGAAAACAAAGGTTACATACATCTTTAAGTTGATAAAAACCAAGATAAACAGGGACACAGAAAGGGGTTTGTTCCTGGTGCTGTCTGGTTTTGATGAAGTGAAAATGCCACAGCTGCCATTAGGATGGGGCTTGATTCATTTCCCTGCCTCTGCTCCTGGTTTTAGTGTAAACACATGTTTTTACTGTCTCCACACAGCTGCATCTTTATCAATCCCAGATGTCCAGCAGGTTTGTGCCTTCAGAGCCCAACAGAGCTTCCACATATGCTTTTAATTCCTGTGATTCTAGAGAAAGGACTTATCAGAGAACAGATCTTTACCTTTAAGAACAATCACACTGGGATAAACTTTCTCATGCTAAAATGTATGCACAGACAAACAACATGCTTTCAAAGTGGCTGGAAATAGCCCTCCATGTCCCTGCTCCTCATTAATGAAGGCTATTCAATTTTCCCTCCACTCAGCTCATCTTCTCTTTCTTGAGTTGGCTGCTCTGTAATCATTTCCATGACAACTTAAGATGATGTCATAGACAAAGCACAATGATTTAAGAATAAGAGCTCTTCTCTGTTAAATTTAGGTAGGATTTGAGTATAATTATCTTTGGTAATAATAGGGGAAACAGGAGATTAGAGAGCAAGCATCAGAATAGCTAAATAGTAAGAAGAGCAATTTACCTCACCACAATGCAGGGTAATCCCCCACAGCTCATCTTCTAAGGATTGAATCTTTAAAGCTATGTGGGCATCTAAAGATACAGACAGGACCCTAATGGGAATTTTTCAGGTTTGTTTGTGGGTTTTTTTTAAGTATCTCATTTGTACCCACCTGGACCTTCAGATGGCCAAATGTTTTTTAGAATCTGGCCCTAAAGCCTTGTCTGGCTAATCACTCTAGACATAAGATTTCTGCTAATTCCCTTTGGAGACTTCTAGATTAAATTTTCAATTGATTGGTTTCACCCGTTCTGACAGAGCAACCTGGGGTATCCTAAATATTTTCACTCCTCCTCTGTGGTACTTGAAAGGCTTTCTCAGCTAGTTCTCAGTCTGTCCTTGAATTGACCCTCTTGGTAGAATAAGACTGAACTGGGTTATGGTAAAGTTTTACCATGCAGGTGCCCTTAGAGATTACTATTTCCCAAGTACCCATCCTCATTTCAGCTACTAAATTGTGTTGTTACTCCTATGTCTTGCCCAGGTGCCAGGTTAATTCTAGAGTTTCAGTAACGCTTTCTTTGTCTTTGCTGATGTTTTTAACACTTCCCCATTTCTGTTTCCAGCCACCAGCACTGCACATTTGCTATCATGCTCTTTTCACCCAACCAGTCCCCTTCTGAAAGGTCCCTCCCTGCCTTTCCACCCCAGAGGCTGCACTTACGGATCACTTCAACTTTGTACGTTGCATTGATTTCTCCAACTTTGTTAAACACCCGGCAGGTGTATTTCCCACTGTCCTCCGGCTTCAGGTTCTTCAGGTTCAACGTCCACTTCTTCTTCTTGTTCTCCCCAATCTCTTGGGGAGTGAGGGGCTTATTGTCCTTCAGCCACGTGATGTCAGGCCTTGGATTCCCACTGGCCACGCACTTGAGGCGGATGGAGCTGCCGACAGGACGGGCGATCACCCTCCGTCTCATCTTGGCAGGCTGTGTGAACCTGGGCCGGGCTGCAAGAGACATGAAAAATTGACTGTGGTGAGCAAAGAACACATAGAAAAGGATAATGTTGGCAAGTGTTGTGGCCAAATTTGCTTGATAGGCATCTGGCAGCCCCATACATACCAGTGCATCACTCTCCCTTGTATCAGCTCAAACCAATTTCCTTGGAAGGGAAACACTACCCAGCCTGATGCATTTGAAAGTCTACTGGTCTGCTATGGCCACTGTATCAGCCTTCTGCATAGCACAACCCCAGAATTTCTGTGTCTGTAAGGCAACTGCACCAGACCACCTCACAGAATAACACCAAAATCACACTACTGCAGCTGTAGGCAAAATGTGGCTTCATAATCACACTGTAATTGTTACCATACTTCATGCCACAGAGGCAAGTCCTTAGCCAAGACCAAAGGAAAAAGCTCAGATTCCTGTCAGGCTGACCATTTTCTCAATTTTTTGCTTGTCACATGAAGCTTCATTCTCCAAAGATGTTTTGCCCCTTAGTTCTCACTGGCTTTAAAGGGACTTAAGAAGAGTCAACACCCTTTCAATACATAGGAAAGTCTCAGAAGTGTGTCAGACTTCTGCATATTGATCTGTACTTAAATGTGTGCAGTTCATTCAACTTCAATTTACAAAGCATTCATGTTGAAAGGCCCAAAGAAGCAAACAAAGAAATGGAAAGACATAGTAAAAACCCCTTGAGTTTGTTATTAGAAGGTATTCAATGCCAGTCCATCCCAAAAATGGAGAATCTGAAGCAGTAGCTGCTGGTGGACAGAACCATGGGATAAGCTACTCGTCTTAGCAAAGAAATCACCTGTATTTTCAACAGCAGTGACAAGAACACTAGGGAAATGCAAGGTCTCTACCTGTAAAATCTGAACCTTAATGAAAAATTCAAAAGAAATTACAAATTCCTTGCAGTTGCTTTAACTACACAATGCCAGTCCAGGGGCACTTCTAGTTGCAGGCTCCTGCTGAGATTAATACCACTTCTGATGCCCACTTGACACTCTCCCCTGCATCTGAAATGTTCCTGCCAATTTCACCTGTCTTCTTTTTTTTTATTTTGGCAAAACCAGTTTCTCCTCCAAGTCTGTTCAGAATTTCCACAAAGGGTTTTTACCCCTGCTTTTGAACTCTACTTCTTGATTACTGTGGTGTTACTTCTCAGCCCCAAAGGACAGTTACTCTGCATTTTTGCATGCTCCTGGTAAATATTCCCTGATTCTTTTCTTGGGAAATATGAGAAATAGGCAATGAGTGGCCAGCTTTCTGGCACACGGGGTTGAATTATGCCCATCATAAAATCATTAAAGTTGGAAAAGAATTCTAAGATCATTGAGTACAACCATTTATCTAACACTGCCAGCTCCACCACTAAACCATGTCCCCAAGAAGCATATCTACATGCTTTTTTGAACACTTCCAGGGACGGTGATTCCACCACTTCCTTGGGCAGCCACTGGCCTTCACCAATAGCAACTGGAAAGCCACAACCTCAGTAGCATGTAACACACCAAAACAAGCTGAGAAAGTCGTGCTTCAGGTATCAGGGAATTCAGCTACAGGATGGTGGGACTCTCTACCAGCCAGCCAGCCCTGCTGCCCAGGGCTGAGGGCCAGAAGCTCCAGGATGTGCACTACAGTGTGGCTTTCCTGAATGGAGGAGGCAGGTCTTCAGCTTCCTGTCTCCAAGCACTGGGGAATGGCAGCCATTGCCCTCTTAGGTTTGTGAACATATCCCTTAGTCCTCATCCCCCTGCAGCCTTGGCCAACATCCCTCCCTCTTGGAAGAGGACACCCTTTGGCATACCCCTCTCTGCAGAGTCCTTTTCCGCAGGGGAAACCATCTGTCTCCACAGCCTTCCCTCGCCCCCCTTGGCTGTCATTTTGGGTCCCAGCCACTTCATGTTATTCCAAACTCTTGCTCAGAAATGCTTTACTCTCCATACAGAGTCTTTCATGTGTAATCCAATGAACCAGAGTAACTCCGGCACTGGAAGCCTTTGCCGTGACAGCTGAGCAACAAGTGTGACATACTAACCCACTCCACAGGTCGTGGTGCCTAAATTGCTGGGTGTTCCCTTTGGGGTCTGCTTCAGGAGGCCCCCTCCCAGCAAAAACAATCACCCTCCCTGACAACGAACCCTGTCAGAGCTGCAGGCTGTGGGACACGACATTCTGAAGTCTGAGTCTGAGCTGAGGGAGAGGTGCTGATAAAGGCTGTCATTGTGGAAATTGAGTAAATGTGTGCAAGGTGCACGGAGAGGTCAGGAATCAGCTGTGAAACGAGTTCATTTGTAGTTATCCTCTAATATGGCAGTAATTTACTCCAAGACCAGCAACTCCTGGTCCAGGTAGGGGAAGATGGGATTCCTGGGCTGGGACTAACATATCAAAGAGCAGGCTGGAGCCAGGATAGCCACACTTTCCCAGCAGATTGAAGAGTCAAGGCAGTGATTCTGAGCTCTCAGAAGGACTTGGTGGCGTCCCTGCTCAGTAAGGGCACCGTAAGGCAGAAACTCTCTTTCCACCCAAAAAAGTCGGGCTTCAGCAATTCTGATTTTCCTCCCACTGTGACTCCCATGAATCTGTCTGGAGATTTGCATTCACTCCTTGTACATGGTTGCACAAATACGCACCAAACTACAGGTAAAGCTACACTTCTTAGGCTCTTTCTGCCTTTTTTCTTCTCTGTTTAGGAAAGGTTAAGTGACTATGTGGTCTCAAGAGCTACTGCAGGCTATGTGCAATATGCTGAAACCAGATCCCATTTACACAGTTCTGAATATTTCCTTGACAAAAGCCTGAATTGGACAAGTTTAGAAAAGCCAGTTAACAAAAAAGGAGAAAGAGAGAGAGACACACACATAAGAAAGTAAAAGAGACCCAGCAAGCACAAAAGAGAAAGAGGAGAAGCAGCAGTGTGAGAGACAGGTAGAAAAAAAAATCTCTTTTGAGTTGGTTCTAGTAAATGTCTGTCCCCAAATCTGTACCGTTTACAGACATTTTGCTTGTTGGAGTGCCAGCAAAAGCCATTACAAAGTGCCTCTGTGTTATTTATACTTCACACGCTTGTTCTCCTCCTCATCATTTGGCATTTGCTTCATAAACATGAACCACACATTTGTACAGTGTAAATTATGTCATACTCAAGACCAAGGGAAAACACAAGTGGATGGGGACAAAGAGACAGTGTTGTGTATGGGTTCCTGGCTGAAATGCTGTTTGCCATGAAGATTTATCCAAGCTAACGAAAATTAAATTAAATTGAAGCCTGTCAGCACGAAGACCTGTGATGGAATTCTGTGATCTCCTCTCTCTGTGGGGCATGGATCAGTCCCAGAGGCTCCTGTCAGGTGTTGCTCATATGAAGCGTGGTGATTATCTGAAATATGTTGTCTGCTGTGATCCACCACAATTGCTTCCATGTAGTCACAGTCACTACCACTTCCAGCTTTAATGATACTTACAAAAAAGCATCATGTTGTGACCAAGTATTGAAATACTTTCAAGTCTTTTGGGTAAGAGCTCAGTCAGCTGTGGGAAGACGTGGATGGGGGTATCTATCTTTCGTCACATCAGTTCCCTGCTCTTGATGGGGACAGGACCTCTCCCCAGTGATACCACGGTGGTACATGGAAAGCAAAGTGGAGCTTTTTTTATCATGCTTCTCCTCTCACACTTCTCCAGGGCCCAGGACTGTGACAACACAAACTGCTTCTTCACCCTTCACCCTCCAGAGACATGCATACACAAACTGACCCGCCCTTCACACCAGCTCCTACCAGCAATTAGCTGGTGAACACTGCTGGATGGAAAGGGCTTTGGTAGGTGTGTGCCTGCCCCAGGCATTACTCTGCTTGGGGAGAGGAGATAGCAGGGAGGGAAAGGGGAAAAAGGAGACATTCAGGAACACTCTGCAGCACAAAGAAAGACTGGGCCAGGGCAGTACAGAGCGACACTATGATATGACACTGTCAATGCATAATCCTTTTAGTAGGGCTTACATCTTCTTTCATAATATTATTGTTGTATTGATCCATCACCCAGCAGCTCTACCAGGAGCACATCTGCCCTGTCCGCTCCTGTCTCCACCATGGTAATGAAGAGTGGAGAGATGGTAGCTTTTCTTAGTAGCTGCTGAATCCCTCCTTGAAGTACTCCTGACCTGTAGTTTACCTATGACACCCCTTCTCTAACTCTAGAATGTCGTTATCCTTTTTCAGAGTGAGTGAAGGTTACCTTCCTTTACCTGAGCAAGCTCAGTCTCAGACAAATCTGTAATTCAGGTGTAGCCTGGACTACATCACAGCACTTGTTTGCCAGCTCCTGAAGAAAACTGGCCTCATCTTAAGTGGTGGGGACTCATATGGCAAAAGCCTGTCAGGTTCCACCCCCACCACCGCTATGAGGTTTCTCCTTGGCCACAAATGTGGTACGAAGCCATCTCTATATTAAGGAGAAGGATGTACTGTATGAGTAAAATAGAAATGCTGTTCTTCATCCATCGACCTCATAAACTCACATCACACTCCTGTCAGTAATGGTCAAAAGCTGTTTGGCATCAGCCTGACAACTTATTGTCCTTCAAGGAGTGCCTGGACCAAACTTTGGACCTGCAAGTCTTGCAGTGATTCTTTCCAAGTCAGATTTTAGCAGTTCCCCAAAGCTCTGCAAGAGCAACAAAATCTTATGCCTGAACAGTCCAGGGCTTAGAAAAGTTCAGGCAGGTGCGTAAAAGAAAGGGGGATTTTAAAAAATACTCAGCTTGGCCTAGTGCTAATTCTCCTGAAGTGAAGTCAGACCTCCCATTTGCCCTCAGTGGGAGCGGTGTTATGTTGGCACTGAAGATTTTTGGAAATACTGCTGTAAAAGTCAATATGCTTTTTATAGGGAGTCTATGAAAGCTATAATAGCTGCACATGCAAAAGAAAGTCCCTGCCCAGAAAAACAAATACAAGGGAGAACCATGCTGGGCTATATGGCAGGGGGCCCTAGGGCCGACCACAGGCTGCATTTCGCAGGACCCTTGGATGCAATCCATCCACACCAATATGTTCAGCTGACACTCTGTTTATTATTTGACCATATGTAGGGAGAACTCCCTCCAGTTGCTCTGCCTTTCCTCTCCTTCAGCAACTGAGAAACGTGCCACGTGAACAGCAACGAACCAAGAACTGAGGAAAACCAAAAAACACACACTGCTCCTTACCCCATTGCTTCCCAGAATGATCTTCATATTCTCCGTTGGAACCTTCAGGTACCTGGCTATCCTTTCCTGAGCTGGCATCATCTGCAAAGGAAAGGAAAGAGAAGAATTTAAGAAGGTCTCCTGCAGTGCAACAGTACAAGAGTTTGCATTTCCTCCTGGAGGCACCACGCAGCTGAAACACACTCAACACACATCAGGCATGCACAACCTGGCCAGTTTAATGAACAGTTTAGTTTAGTGCTTTATGAGCTTTTCAGCAGGCTACCAAAGCAATGGGAGATTAATCAATGTTTGCATTAATATCTCAGAAAAGCCTCTTTGTTTATTTTTACAGGTTGCTGTTCCCTAGGAGGAGCTGATCTGTTGTACCTTCTATGCAAATAGTGGTATAAATCAAAATTAAAGATAAGTAAACCTAGGAAGTGGGGGAAGACCTATATGATCAGTCATACAGAACACAAGCAGTGGAATTACAGCCACTAATTCACCTTTCAGCTTCCATGCAAAATCAGAAAAGCAAGCAGTTCTGGGGTTAAATGAGTTCTCAGGGGATGCTGAATGCAAAGTTATGGCTGGCGAAAACAATATTGAATTGAAAAGCTGTTTATGGGTATTTTTTTCTAATTGAGACCATCTCATCCACCTGCATCAACACACCACTTTGTCCCTTATCACTCTAGTTGTCTATATCACTACCACAGAGCAGCACTAAAATTTTGACTTTGTGCCCTTTCCTGCTAGGAGAAATAGAAATCACCACAAGGTAAAACCCCCATGTTTCCAGCAGTCTCCACCTCAAATTGCCACTGTGATATGGTCACCTGGAAGGTCTCCCTGAGGGCCAAGGGAGAATGAGAGTATCCTGAACTTCCTTCTGCAACCTGGGTGATCTTGGTGGCCTCACACCTCTGCAGTGCCCAGATGTGAAGTCTTTTTCCTCTTCCAGTAACAGCTCAACCTCTACTGCACAAGTTCTCAGCTCCAAGCAATCTCTTATAGTAATGCATCACACCAGGAGGGAGGTCCACCTGAGGGACTTCGGGCACCTACAAATGATGGTGCAGCAAAATATGGCTCTTCTAAGGTTACTTCTGTGCTCTACAGATGGCAGAGCCCCATACAGTAGCTGGAGGTGGTGATCTTGATCAAGAGCTCCTCAGCTCCTACCTGAATTGCACTGAAGTGAGTGAAACTTGATTTTCAGTGATAGGTCAGGTGAAGGCTGGGAAAAAGTTCACCTCAATGAGGAACACAATGGTGTAAAAAAAAAAAAAAAGAGAAGTGGAAACATCTGATCTAAAGAATGAATCTCTCTAAATGTCCAACTCCTAAAACCCATTAGAAAATGGTCTCATGAGTGAAAAAGAAGAAAAGTCTTTCTGTGATGTCTGTGACAGAGAGGACAAACTTATCTGAACTTATAGATGAGCATGCCCCCCCCCACCGAAGGTATAAATAATAAAACTGCTCTTGACAGTTGCTTTAGAAGTTGAGTTGCTCTTAAACAGTGTTTAGTGTGTAAACTTGTGTCTTTGTGAGACAGGAATGTGTGTTTAACCCCATCCTCACCTCAGGTTCTGCTATTTTGGAAACTCATCCCATCTCTTCAGCAAGGGGCATTATATGCCAACAGATGCTCTGCTCTCTTTTGCCTCTGTCCCTTGAGCAGAGAGGCTGCAATGCCATATGGGTTTGTCCCCTCTTGACCCTGACAGATTTTTCTCTTCTCCTTTTGGTTACTTCGGGGCAGTTTCCCCTGGAGGTATGTACAGCTGTCACTCCGAGGGGAAAAAAAACTTTTGGGGCTGCAGCTCCCTGAAGCAGCTCCATTATATATGATGGCTTGCATATGACAGGTTGTCTCCCTTCAGTCAAAATACAACATCAATTTTCTCCTAGCACTTGTATAATTTTTCCCATACATATCAGTAGTGCTACAAATGAAATCTTGGATGCTCTCTGAGAGAGAACTTATCAAATCCCTCTGCACAATTAGGCAAATTTATTGGGCAATGGAGAATAAAGAAAAACTGCAGAGAGATGTAGGATTCCTGTCCATTGTTAACTGCTGAATATCTTAAAAGTGGTTACAGCATTTAAATGGCAATGTTCTGTCAATTGTATCTTAATCCTGCTCAGCTTGATGTACAAAGGGCAGTATATCTCCCTTGCCTGCTGCCTCATGTTACAGTATGTCAGCCCATGTGCACTCCTCCTGCTGACACACACGGACTGACTGGCAGTCTCCACACCTCTTGACATGCTGCCAAGCTTTTGATGTAAGGAAAATTGCTCAGAATCTGTTTGATCCTTTGAAGATGCTTCTTCAGTTTTTATCCTACAAAGTCACAAACCTGTGGAGTAACCTACCAAACCCAGAAAAAAACATTTTGGCTGAAAGAGATCATGATAACCTAATGCCATCGTGCTGAGCCGATGGAATAGTTAATTTGATGGAGGAGCAACACTGAAATAAATAACTGCATGCATTTAGGCACATTGGTTTAGATACATTGGAACTTGTTTCATGTGTGCTAGGAATGTGGAAACGTTAACAATAGCAGAAGTCTTGAGGCGGGGAAACGTCATAAACATGGAAACTCTTGCAGAGCAAGAGTTCCTGCTCCTTCCCATCCCCAGAGCTGCACATGGGGTGAGAGATGTTATAGCAGTCTCTACCTTCAGCATGACTGTATCTGAAAAAACTCACACTTGAGAACTGTACCAAAAAGAGTTGATTCATGAGATCCAGAAATTGGGTGAAACGCATTTTGGGAATATTCCCTGAAGTGTGCAAATCTCCAGTTGAATTTAAAAGCGTGAGCGAGGCAGCAGAGTAGCCAGTGATATAATGATGAAGTGTTAACCTGTGATGTGAGTGACCCAGGGTCAGGTCCCTCTTCTGCTGAATTCAGAGAGGGATTTAAATCTCCATTCTTGCACCTTGGGTGAGTGTCTTAAGCTCTGACCTGTGGTCTCAGAGAGCCAAAAAAGAGCTTAATATTACATAAAGTAGAGCAGCACTTCGGGAGACAGATATTTCAGGAGCATCCTGAAGATGGGAGACCCCTGTCTAAGTCAGATATCGCCAATATTTGACTTCCACCTGTCTTATCCAAAGTCAGTACCGTGGCTGCATGGAAAGAATATATCTCTCCCTGTTTTGAAGAACTTTCCTATTTTTCCAATTTTAATACTCAGTGGTTTCCTAGGATAGAGAAACACTTTTACAGTTGTTGTAATCCCTGTGCTGGGAAGGAAGTGTATCTTTCTGTACCACAAATACACTTTGCTCTCTTCTACAGAGGGATCTGTGACACTGACAGCAAAGCCAAATATCCTGCAAGTTCAGAAGCACCTGATACAGCCCAAACCTTTAGTCTGAAGCCTGGTTAATACTGTCAGATCTGAAGACCTGCTGTTTGCATTTCACCCTGAGTTTCACAAATGCAACTGGCCTGGCAATATTCTTATTAGACAGAGACAGGAATTTAAAAAACAAGTCACATATGACCAGTATACAAAAGGATAAGATAGTAGCAGAAATCAGGAGTCTTAGCTATATTAGAAAATTACCTAATAAGCCACTTACTTGCTCATGCTCTTGTCACCTCCCCCCCAGAGTTGGGCAGGTTGGGGTGATAAGTACATACAAAAAAATCAGCCTACAGTCTAAGGGCAGTAGGGACCAGCCATGTAGCACTGCCCACTTTGCTGCCAGCACATTACTGTGAAAGGCAGTGCTAAGAAGGATGAACTGCTGAAGTTTCCTACAAGGTCCCATTTCTGTGACCTATATTGGAAGGTCATCCTGTACTGGACTTCTTGGACAGTATCACAGGCTTAGGACAGCAGCCAGTTGGAAGATGAAGTGGAAAACCTGCCTTGAAAAGCAATCACTGACTAATTTTATGTCACGAGTATCTGATGCTAAGAAAACATACACATGATTTAGGTGTCCTCACTGTACAGTTTGGCTCCATGGTGCTACAAAGCACGCTGGCTGGTCGAGAAACCTGAAGGGCAAGGCTCCAATATCATGTCAGGTGATAGACTTGGAGATAAGGGAGAAACTCGTGTAACCCCTTCCCCCCCAAATACAGCACATGGCAATACAAGACAGAGCCAGGATGGACACGGAGGCATCAGCCCATTGTTTAGGAGTGTCACCCCACTGGAATCATCCCCAGACATCGCCTCTCTCTTGCTTCAGGATCTCATTCCAAGCTGGCTTTTAGGTCTGAGATGCCACAGGACTGAGATGCTGCTGATGTTGGGGATGTGTGTGGTGGATCTGAAAGGGACAGTCACGGATTTGTATGAGACTGGATATGTCTGAGTGTAGGCCATGATTATCAGTGCTGATATCATGGGACAAATTACCCTTTCTCACCCCAGAAACCACGATGCTCTATGCATATTGCCTGCCATGTGTTTTTTTTGGTCTATCCTCTGTTCCAAAGCAGGCTGGATTTCTGCAGAGAAGGGATTTCTGTATATAACTCCATCAACTGACAAAGCCCATTGAGGATCCTATGGGACAAGACTGCCACATCAGTGGGGTATAGTTACTGTTTATTACCATAGCAGAATTGTTCCATTCCCTCTTGAAAGTTAAAACAAATGGAAAATTCTGCATAACAGTCCAGCTCTGAGAGAAACTGATGGGAAATATTCAGACTGTTACTGAGTCAGGATCAAATTTTATTTACCCACAGACTCTTTATGAAGGTTTCGTGTTTTAACCATGACTGGTTTTCAGGCCAATACCATGTGCTGAGTCCAACCACAAGTCAAGAAAACAGTCCTGTTTTTGAAGCAAAAATCTAGCCATCATATTTCTCTATGATTCACAAAGTTGCTTTAATTTGTTATAATGCAAGGCCCGTCCCTGCTCTGACTTGATGGGACCAGCTTTGGAGTCTTTGATGTCAGAGGCCTTGAAAGCCCCATTTCACAGATGAGCCAGCTTTGCATAAATAAACAAAGTGACCTCTGAACTGGAGCCTGAGACCTGAGCACACTTCAAAGCACTGGGGGAGGTGATGGGGGGGCAATGGGGAATGAAGCGATCAGCATCC